CACACCCGGGCCTCGGGGCCCCAGTCCTGCCAACCCAGGGCTCCAGCTCCAGTGACTGCGACCATCATCACTAGGGTTGCCGGTTCAGCTCCTCTCCTCCGTTCCCTCCGTTCCGTCAAAGGGTCCTCACGCCCTATTCCCTTTCAAATTCTGAGTCTGAGAAGGAAGACAACCCAATAAGATAAAGATATGGGGGCCCCGGACTTCTCTTCCAAGGAGCTAGAGAATTATACCAACTTCAGCTCTCCTACAGCCAGGCCGGTGAAGAAACGATTTACAAGACGCTAATCTAAGAGCTTTACTTATTTTATTTACTTCGCAGCCTTTTGAGTTCATGCTTTAAAATGTTTAATATTTATTAACACATTAAATAGAACAACCCAACGAGATGGATGATACAAGTATCCCCAGTGTACAATTGAGGAAAACTCAAGACATAGCGAAGTCAGTCCCTTTCCCAGGGTCACACAGCTAGAAGGTATAAAGCTGGAATTGAAACCCAGGCAGTCTGGCTCCAGTCTCCACACTCTCCGCTCTCACCGCACACTGCCCCAGTTAGAAAAAAAAAATAACTGTGACCTCATTTAATCCCCCCAACAAACCAACCAGGTGGGTACTGTTATTGTCTCCATCTTACAGGCAAGGAAACTTAGGCACAGAGAGGCTACTAATGGAGCTAGAAATTGGTGCAGGCAAGACACTAGCAGCCAGTTTGATCCTTAACTACCATGGGAGGGGAGATGCGAGCCATACAAGGAGAAGGAATTGCCACAAAGTGTGTGAAGCTTTCATCACCTTCACATACTGAGCCCCTGGGCTTTAGGCCCAGTCCCTCGTGTCCTTCCTCGGGCTTAGCACTGGGTGGGACGGTCTTTCCAAGCAACTCCACCATTCCTGTGCTCCACTGGCCATAACGGGCCGTGACTGAACTCAGAGCCACACTAAGGTCCAGCTGTTTTGCCGCCAGCTGGACAACGCCTCCCTGAGTTGGGCATAGCATATTTAAAGGGCCTTCATATGTGAGCTTCATCCCTTTTGTGGCCAGGCCCCCGGGATGCTTTGGGAAGGCATAACCAGGGGCACCAGTACCACCAAACCCTCTTTGCTCCTACTTTGGAGACAATGTCGCTGTCTGAAGGGGAACAAGAGCATAAAGAAGAGGCACAGAGGATGTGTATGGCCATGACCACATTAACAACTCGATTTATTTCAGTTTACGAAGTTCATTTCTTTCTCCCTGCGGACACAAGGCCTATCTTGCTCAATGTAGTGAGTTCCAGTGATTCTGGGGCTGGTCATGGAAAAACATATGATCATAAGGAGGGAGGGGCACACAGCAAGCTTTATTTGGGCAACACTTTGACAAGTGTGCATGCAGGAGCAGGACAGAGGAGTCCCACACAGCATGGGACCATCCAGACGCTGTGGCTGCCCAGGGCGACCCCCCAGAACAATGGGAAGGTAAGGGAACACCCCAGCGTAATGATGGGATGGGAGAGGGGTCTCACCTGTCTAGGTGAGGCCACTCAGCCATTCCTCTGGGAGTCTCTGGATCAGGGAGCTCCCAAGGACAGCAGCAGAGTGGGGTCTTTAATCGCTACAAAGTTATCCAACATCTGACCAGCAAATATTGGATGTAGTTTCTCAAAGTATGCAAAGCAGGCAGGTTCTCAATAGCTAAAATTTGTGCCATGTTTAAAACAGTTGAGTGTGTTTTAAATATGAGAATTAGATGCTGGTGCCCACAGGCTTTTGAGTTCATGGGCCCCAGTCTGTTGTGAAGAAATCAACAACCCAGAAACCAATATACGGGGCCATCTTTGACTTATTACTGTCACATCCTAAGATCCAGTGGGAAGTACACCCAAACACTCCCAGAATCCACAGCTCCACCAGGCCAAGTCTCTCTCAGGCATGACACACTCAAATTCTGAGTTCAGGGTTCTCACCTGATCCACTTTGAATGCTGGTGATTGAGACTGGCTGATGATTTACTCCTACATTGCCATCCCTCTGCACAAAGGCAGAGGAGTCTAACATTCAGACAGTCAATTATACACATGCAACAGGAGAAGGTTGGCGGATATTTTACCTACAAGAATCTGCGAGGCAGTTTACATAGATGAATATTTAACCACACCCTGTGGTTGTCTAAGAATGAAACAACTTCACCAGCAGGTGTCTCTGTTACATTACATATCAGGGAGAGTCTGGCTCCCTTGATAGGGCCTTAAATAAAACACTAGTTGTTTATATTCTGGTCACTAGCTCCAGTGAGTGCTATGTAATCACAGCCATCAACAATGACGTATGTGATATTAAACCCATTTACTATTCAATCCAACAGAGTCCTCCACGCTTCTCAGGAAATTCAGCACAACTAGGAGGTTAACTTCACAGAATAATGAACAAATTCTATTTACTACTAGACAATCCACCTGCTTCTGGCTCCATAGAACATGAAATAAATAAAATGACTACTCCACTGCTCCTTGTAGATTATCAGACATGCCCAACAGCAAAGGGACTCTCCATAGAATATTGTTCATTACTCTTTAATTTGAACGCATTCCAAGGCCCAGATACACAGGTGAGCTCAAGTCCCCAGGGTTTCATTCTGGAGATCTGAAGTCTTTGGCATGTCTGTAGGATTAGGGCATGAGGCAGGGGCAGAGCCATTCTTTCGTTCTCTGTCTATTCTGTTAGATTTAAAGTCAGGTCCAAGTTCTGTCCTCGGGCCCTTTTTTATTTTCATACCTTGTTTTCTTCTTGGAAACCCTCATTGTCCCCCATTGACTCAACATTGGTTCTCATTCCCAAAGCCCTGTCTTCAGCATTCCAATACCATCACCTATTAGAGGTTTCACTACTGCTCAAGCTTAAAATGTTAGAAAATGGACTCGTTTTCTGTCTCCCCTAAATCGGTTCCTCCTTCTTATTTTCCTACTTATGTTAATTGTCAGCTCTTCTTTTCCTCAGAGTTATTATCTTTGACCCTTTCCTCCCTTGGCTCTTCCTCCCAATTCAACCCTTTCCTAAACAGACTGGTCTTTTCTAGTCTATTTCTATAAAGTGCTTGAATGTTACCAAACTATTTCTTGTACACCTCCTATGTGCAAGGACTTCTGCAATGTGTTAAGGCATGGGGCTTGAGGCCAGTCTATTTGGCGTTCTTTGGGCAGTATTGAAACAATGCTCTTAAAACAACAGATGTCAGTAAGTTGATTACCAAAATGTATTTTTTATTTATTTATCTTTTTAATTATTTTTTTAAAATATATTTTATTGATTTTTTACAGAGAGGGAGGGAGAGGGATAGTTAGAAACATCGATGGGAGAGAAACATCAATCAGCTGCCTCCTGCACACCTCCTACTGGGGATGTGCCCGCAACCAAGGTACATGCCCTTGACTGGAATTCAACCTGGGACCCTTCAGTCCGCAGGCCGACGCTCTGTCCACTGAGCCCAACCGGTTAGGGCACCAAACATGTATTTTTTAACTTAAAGAGGAGAAACTGATACAGCTTGGTTTTAAAAAATTCTTTTTGGAACAAGAAATAATTTCAGTGCGCCTTCAGTATAAAATATAACAGAGGAATTGAATGATCTTTGAAATTGCCGAATCGAAATCAGCCTCCTTATGTAAAGCAGGAGTGAGTACTCTTTAGTGTGAGGCAGTGGGTCTCCTACTCTCCTGCACATAGTATAGTAATCACCTGGGGAAGCTGGCTCATAAAATGCTGACCCCTAGGGTCCATCCCCAGGTACTCTGATTCAGTAGATTGGCAAAGGGGCCAAGGAATCTGCATTTTTAAACAAAATAAAAATCTAAGGAGTATTTTTAAGAAACAGCAATGCAGAAGAAAAGTCTAAGTACTTGAAATAGAATACTGTTCTTACATCATGAAATTGCTTCACACAACTACTCTTAGTCACCTAATTGTGTTAGTTGAGTCTATAATTCTCTGCCAATAGACTATTTCCTCTAATTTTATCTTTAGAAGCTCCTATCTTTGGTTTCTAGTTTTATCTCAGATTTAAATTTCAATCTTGGTAGAAGTAACACCTTAGGCCAGATTAGTATTTCATGCTTCACTACATGTGAGGTTCTCAGATCCTGTTCTTGGGAGAGCAGGAAGTAAGTAGGGATTCCTGAAAGGAGAAAGAAGGTACCACCATGCGCCCCAGTAGGGTAGGGCACTGGGGCAAAGCTGCGAGTCGGTGGTACGTTTTCTTACAACAGAGGTGTGGCAGTCTGAGGTTTAATTGCAAGTTGTAGTTGAGGAATGGGGTGAGGAACCCAAGATCCTGAATCCCAACACCCTGCGGGAACTTCCCAAAGGTAAGCCATGCCCCCCTCTTACTGGTGCTGGCATGGGACATAGGTGAGTGAGCTGGGCTAAAGTGTGAGACCAGGACAGACAAACCTAAGGAGAGGGGCAGGTAAAGGTCAATGGGCTTTCTTTACCCTACACTCTCTCCCTGGTCCTGTGTGTTCTAAACATTTTCCTTAAGTTAGTGCAAATCCTGACACTATGTCAATTCCCTCATCTCCCCACCTCCCAGTATTTTATTTAACTTTGTTAAAGTTGTACGGTTTGGTTTGGCCCCACTTGTTCCAGGCAAGTGGGAGTAGCTCAGAGGCCTGTTTGTGGCCTTGTCTCCTTATACTCCAGACAGTGGATCAGAAGCAGTGACCAGTAGCTCTTGGAAATTCCTCCTAGTGCTGTGGCATCCTGGGACTTGTCCAGCCCATTGTATGGACATCATTGAAACTTGGATTTGTTTTAAAGTGTTATAGAGTTTTGCTTTTGTTTTCCAAAAATTAAATACATGTGGGGTCCCCTCCAGTCAAAAAGCCACAGTGACTGTCTCTCTCCGCTCCTGATGCCACTCAAATGGAGCCTC